AGGGGTGGCCAAAAGCAGATAGGCGCCAGAACCTCAGGGTCCATCTACACTTTTTCCAACAGGAAGGAGCACAACATCCATATTTTCTAAATAAAGAAAAACTATACTTTCCTGCAGCCTTTTGATTACAAATAGATGAATATATTTAAACGTCCCTGCTGTCTAAAAGATATAATGGACAAAATGTCTGTGGAAAACATATTTTCCATTGTCATTACTTACCCACTTTAATCAAAAATTGTTCTGCATAGCATTAATATGACATGTACTAATACATTCAATGGATTTTGAAGTTATTAAAATAGTTATTTATCTATAATTTCATTGAAAACTCCTTGATGGCTAGCAGAGACATAATTTTCTCTTCACCCCATATAACACAAAATTAGGGTCTTAAAAGAGCATGAATTCTTCATATATAAACTTTAATGTTAGTATTTTGATGTGCCATAATTAACCACAGCATTTTAGTTGTCAAGTAACTATTAATATATGAAAAGTTTAAATGTTTAATAAGTTAAAACATTCCTATTGATAGTATTACTGCTGCCAATGTCTGTATTAGAGGGCGAAAAAAATGATAGGGGTGGCCAATGAGTGGCTAAGGTGGCCATGGCCAGCCCTGCCCCCCCATCTAGCTCCGCCCCTGTACAGGTTTAGTGTTAATTAATTAGGAAGTATCTTTATTACTATGTAAAATTATGTTTCACTAGTTTTCCTTTGATCAACACTTCAAAGATTTGCCTTTTCCTGTCCAACAGGTGTCCTGATTACAGGTGTGGGTGTTATAAAGGAGTGTACCTGTCTGTTCGACTATATTGTAACAATTCAGAGCCGATGAGCTTCTAAAAGTATGAGAGGACAATAAAAGAAAATAATGGGGGCTGCAGAGAGGTCCATCTTGTTTTAAGGCAATTTATTTCTGAATGTGTTGCTTTTTTCGAATATTAAGCTTTAAACCTGTTTTCCATTACACTAAAATCAGTATAATTGTGATGAGTTTTTTACAAGCCTAATGTTTCCTTTATATCCTCCTGGGAAGTGAAGTGTGCGAAGATCGTGGGCAGAGCGTTGGTGCCGCATGTAGTGACAGGACAAAACCTCCTGCAAAGCCAGGCTCAGTGTGAACAGCCCGTCTGTTTGAGAACACAGAGCATGCACACAGAAAAAAGCACTGATCAGGGATTTCTTAACATTTTAGTCAAAGTCTTAAGAAAATAGTTTGGCTTTGTGGCAAAATGGTTATTCTACTCCACTTTGAAGCGTTGAAGATAAGTTAGGGTACTGTAGCAGGTAGTAGAACATCAAAGGATCCCTGATGTGCTTCTTCTCCATATTTCACATGTTAATGTTTGGCTCATCAGGTCCTTTGTAAGACAGACTATTACAGAAGATGCTCACTTCCCACTGCCATCAGCCTCTACACACTCTCAGAAAAAGGCTGCAGGATGAGTACATTTCTGTCCCCTGAGGTACATTTTGGACTTTTGTACCCCTTAGGTGTGGAGATAAGTTTGTTTCAACAGATTTGTATCTGTAATGCTCGATTTTTAATGTTTTGTAATTTGTCTATAACATTTTGTGCATAACTTCCTATAAATGTGTGTTCAAAAACAAGTACAAAGAAATTATGAATGAAAAATTTAAATACTAACACAAACCTGATATTTAGAAATTCAAAAAGGATCCTAAAGATAGAAACCTTTACATATTCCGCAATTCATTGTGAGTCCAAGCAAGCCGGCTGTTCTGTGCTCAGAGGAAAAAGGGAAATGGCACCGAAATTATAAGTGCAGTTTAATATAATGTAAGAATGTGAATAATTCCGTCTGAAATTAATGAAAATTGTTTTAAATGGTTACATGTGGTGGGTAAGATCTGGTTTATTGAGAGGGTTTTATCTGTCCCTATGCAGAAGGGTTTCGCTGAGATTTAAGCACAGATTACAATATATCTGTAGTGTTGGGACTATAAATCTGATATTCGTGATGTCGGTACTGCTGCTGAAGCTCCTCAAAAACGTTATTGGCGCCCAGAACAGTAGGGAGGAGTTAGGCATCTGTTTTTTTGCCTGCTTTGTATGTCACTGTTGCAAGGCGAGAGCGTATGGGCGGTGAAAGCCAGAGATGGCTGGAACTGTTTCAATCCATAGCCAAAACTCTTGCGGTGTAGGTACCAGATCTGCTCGGGGCCCTGCTCCTTCTTATGACATCCACATATGGCAATACCACTAGGACAAAAGGTATTGCACCCGTTTCGTAAGGATCAAATCTCTTTTGGAGTTGCAACATTTTTTTACCTATATTTGCTATTATTTCACAGGCGATCTAAAGTAAACAAAAGTAGAAATCAATCTTTGTCAGTCTTGAAGGAAAGTACTGCTTTCTAAGACTAAGCTCTTCTACTTAACAAGGTGACAAAAAGTCTCAGCTTATTTTCATTTTGTTTTACTAAGATCTGAGGGACATCTTAAAAAATGACTCTTGGAGATCTCAGACAAATAAAACTGTTGTTCTACTTGTAGAAAACTATGGGTTGTTGACTTAAATTTAAAAGTAATGTGGCTTAATATGGCTAACTGATAGGGGTGTAAATCACATCCATCATGGCAGTTTGACTGAAAAATAATGACACTAAACACACGAATTGTGCAAGAACTATTTAGAGCAGAAGCAGGTCACTGGTATTCCATGGGTAATGGAGTGGCCAGCGCAGTCACCACATCTGAACCCCATTTAGCTGTTGTGGGAGCAGCTTGACCGTATGGTACGCAAGAAGTGCCCATCCAACCAATCCAACTTGTGGGAGCTGCTCCTGGAAGCG